TTCATCAAAGTAAGTATGTACTAGAACAGATCGCTTATGTTAATTCCTTCTGGTTTTATTTTTTCCTTTGTTTGCTGTCTCTGAACTACATCTTTGACCTCTTCGCAGACCCAGTTGATTTAAAGGAGGAGATATTTAAAATTTACTTTCAATTTACTGCAGTAACTGATTGCTACTTTCTCAACATCTCAGATTTAATAGTGGTTCTTTGAATCCTCTTCCCAATTAAACTAATTGTGCCTTTGAAAAGTAAAAAAGGTATACCTTAAAAAAGAGTAGGAGGATAATATCCTGTTTTTCTGTTGAATGGTGTATCTGCTCTGAAAATGTATATTATGTTTGGTAGGGAGGTGGAAAACATAGCATTACAGGCAAGAAAATTGTATTGTTCAGAGAATCCTGGAGAAACTATTTTGATTAATAATACAGTGATTTGATACAGTAAAATGGAAGACTATGTTGCCATTACAGGCAACATGACTACTTAAAGATGACCTTCAAAAAGATGCTTTATGGCTTATAAACCACTTCTGACTATTTCAAAATAGCCTACCAAAAAGACTCCCTCGTCTCTGGAGGCTATCTGAAAGAGCTGACTGCCGAAGGTTTCCACTGAGCTGAATGGTCCACATGGCAGAGCTGAAATCCTTGGACAGGCAGCTCCTTCAGAGCGAAAGAGCTGCCTGCTGAAAGATTTCAGCTCTTCGTGAGCCTGCTCCCTTGCATGGTAGGTCGGAGAACAGGCCCAGACCACCTAGGCTAGGCAGATTTCCACATGCCAGTAGGCTCTGTAACCTACCGCAGGCTACCTTGGGCCTCCCTCACCCCCCCAGGTACCCCCACACTCTGCTTAATGACCCATGAGATTTCTTAACAATTACAAATGGGAGTACAGGAATTGTAGTCATCAGGTGAAGCAGTCACATGAACCCTCTACTTAACGATCACTCAGTGACCAAGATTCTGGTCCCAATTTTTGTCATAAGACGACGACATATAGTATGTTATTTTTATTTAATTTATTGATTTAAAATAAAATTTCAGTCTCCCAATGAATGTTTCTTATAGAATGGAAATTAATGCATTTTAAAGGAAGGAGTTGGTGGTTTTAGCTAATTGTTGAAAATGCACTGCTTAAAATACAACCTTGTATCATTATTTCTGCTTTTATATAGAAGTTATTTCCATTTTGTTGCAGATGATTTACTGGTTTTTATGGATGCTATGTTCTTTTGAATTATATTGTAGCAGTTGGAAAATAATAGGGAGACAATGCAAATGAGAATTGGATGCAAAACAGTTACAAAAGTTGATAGTATAAAGCTGGAAGAACACCCATTTTTTTCATATATTTTACATAAATTATAAAATATATCTGTATATATTAGATAGTGATCCAAAGGACTCACATTTTATTCTAAATTTGAACAAAATATTCAAAGGCCAAATGTCTCATTTAGAGGATTGCTATATACAAAATTTGGACTATAAATAGTTTACTTTACGTAACTTTGGATGTCACATTTGATTAAAATACCTAAAGCCAAAGATATCAAAATAATTAAAAAGAATACTATTAAAATACAATTAAACAGTTTTCAAAAAGCTATAAATAAAACAAAATAAAAATCATAGGAGAGTACATTCTAAAACTTACAGATAGTGCAGGCTGTATACTTCCAGTATCCCCTGGTCTGAAGACACAATTAGAATTTCCAGAAGGCCAGTAGGTCAGTGGCAATCTCATTTTGGGAGGAATAATCTTCCAAATGGTGGGTGCCACAGCAAAATAAGCCCTTCTCCTGGATGAAATTCCTTGCCCTCCATGACCCATTGTTGATTGATATGCCTTATTTCCTCATTTTGCCCTTATTGTTAACTGACCCAACTGATAATTAACCAATTGTTGTTTCTGTTTTCTTTTTCTACACATGGTCTTCTACACATCATCTTTTTGTTTCCATATAGCATAAAGACAACACTTTTCAGAAGCTATTGGGATGTTTTTAGGTTTATTCTTGTAAGCTGTATTTCAACAAAATTAATTCAGCAGAACTTTCTGTTTCTATTTTTTTTCATGATTTCTTATTTTACTTCTGGGATGATTTTCCTCTTATTATAATATAAAAAAAATAATGCCTATATGTTTCTGAATTCAAACTTCTACAAAGCTCAGAGTCAATTTGAACTTCAAGATGTTGTCATTAAATAATTTTTAAAAATGGAGATTCAATAATAAATGAATGTGGTGATTAGTTAGTATCCTGTTTGTTTAATGTTCGTGGTTTAGCACAAATATATTCATCTTATACATGGCAAAAGGATGACTTTATTTGACTATAATTACAAATGTAAAAAAGGAGTGAAGGATCAAAGGGTGATGAGAGGTAATGTAGACCATTGTTGATTAGTGTCAACAGTGGATCATGGAAAAAGAAGTGGGAAGGAAATAAAAGAAAGTGAGGAAAAGGAATTAGAATAAAAGAACAATAACTACAAGAAGAGAAAGAATGTTCCTCTATGGAAAGAGAATTAAGAAACAGAGTAATCTCCCAGAGGGCAAATGGAAAGTGGAAATAAGAAAACAGAATGGGAAAACTCCTTGGAAAAGAATGCGAAGAATTATGCCACAGAATGTCACAGAAAAGTATGAAGATATACTAATGCAAAGTATGAAAAAAGTTGTTTTATGAAATAATCGGGTGAAATACCTCGAGGATAAGAAAATTGTGGAAAAGGATGAAAGGTTTTGTTCTTAAAGAAGATAGTTGAGAAGAATGCACTCAGAGCGAAGAAGAAATTATTAAAATGAAAAAAAGGTAGAGAATGTGCAGAGCAATTTTGACAGATATAAAACATGTTTTAGAAGTGAGGAAAAAAGAGTGAAGGAATCTCCAGCAGGGTGAATGGTATTAAAAATAAAAATGATGAAATCATTTGGTAAAAGGATGTGTACGATCTGAAGAGAAACCAGAGTCATTTGGGATGAGAAACTGTTGGAAGGAATATTTTAGATCTCTTTACAGGAATGATAGTGACAAATGAAAAAGTGGAAATGATGAAAATAAAATGCTGCAAAAAGGTTGAAAAATGGTCAGGCTGTAAGTATAGATGGTTTTAACTATCTAAAAAAGTCAGTTTGCTGTAATGGAGAAGATGCTGGCTTAGAAACCAGAAGACTGTGAGTTTTAGTCCCACCTTAGGCATGAAAGTCAGATGGGATAAAAATATTGTAGCGACTTAGGAAATTGTAAATATGGATGTATCTTGCACATGGAAATGTTATGGACTTGTTTAACACTGGCATTAAGACTGTAGTTATCTGATGATTGGAAGAAAACTGATATTGTTAATGTGAACAGGAAAAAAAATAGCCAAAGAAAATGCAAAACATGATAGGGGAATTAATCTGTTTAAGTGTTCCTGGAAAGGTATTTGGTTGAATTCTGATGAGAAGGATAGATGAGGTGACATTAGCACAATTTAGAAAGTGTTGGACAACAGTTCTGCTGACCAGACTTTTATTCTTCAGCAGGTCATTGAGAAACATATCAGTGTGAGAATGTTTATTGTCTGTTGTTTTAAAGAAAGTGTGACTTAAGTAAATAGGTTTGATTAAGACACTGTTTTGCAGGCATATAAATGCATTGCGGGATGTATTCAGAAATAAGTGGTTAGCCCTAGTGAGATTTAAGATAAAAAAGGAGTGACACTCTCTTGGTTGTTCAGTATATATTAGGAATGCTGATGATTAAAATAAATTTGTTGAGGATGTGAACTTTAACACAGAAGGAGCATTGCCGTTGTTGAACACAATGGAGAAACTGATAAGAAAATATCTCTGAAACAATGAGCAAATGGGTCATGGGTTATCTAGTCTTCTATATAGAAAGGATTGTTAAAAATTGTTTCTCATTTGAAATGTTTATTGAATAACTGTGGCATAACCAAATTCATATTTGTTGTGTTCAGGTTAGAGTTGGGCCAAAGTTTTATGATCAGCTAAATTTGACTGTGTTCAGAGGCAAGATTGTCAAGGATTTTTGGTCACCTTTATTGGGTGAGTTAGGTATGCTGCCCCTAATTGCCCAGGCAACTACTCCCTCACCTCCAGTCCTATTACGGTCATTATTTTTCCCAGAACAACATTTGGAACAGAAATGGGGACAAATTTCAAAATAACCAGGAAAAGAAAAAAATGAATTGAATGAAGCTATGAGAAGCTTTTACCAATAGTTACATATAACTGTCCCAGTTATATAGTATCTATATTATTTAACTTATTTGTCTGTTATGTTTATATACCACCAAATGGAATTGAGTCAATGTCACCAAATAGTTTACGGTGAAATAACATTGCAATACAATAAAACGCAATTCAAATATAGTTGCTTGCTGCTTCTGAGCCAAACATCTCCTGGACTATGAAATTTGAAGGGGGAAAAAGTCAGCCACCCCCCAAATTGTTGGCAAGACTCAGGAAGCAAGAACACTATAAATGTCATTAACATCTATTTAAGCTAGTTTGGAATAAATAGAAACTTTGGAAGCTAGAATAGGAATTTCCCAATTTCAGTTTTAGACAGTCTCTTGGAAGCATTTATCCCCAGATCTCTCAGCATGTCAGCACTCTTTCCTGAGACAGGCATTCAACTGACTCACCTCTAACTTCCTCACAATCTTATTTTGACTCATGCCAGTTTAGAATCATATGGGATACGGAAAAGGATTTTTGGAATGATGGAATGATGGAAAAGACCATCATGTGCGTTCAATCCAAGTTTTCTCATTTGACTCAAGAAGAAATGGCCTCTGTGTTATGTTTCCTCTTTTAGATTGCTCCAGTATACTAACTTTCATGATGGTTTTGACAGAAAGGCTTTGAAAATGTTTTGTATGTTGACCAAGTTGGGTCAAGGAGAATGTTGTCTCAGAAGCCTTGAGTTCAGGTTGACATTTGTTACTCTTGGCTGAACTAACCTTTCTTGTTTTGCTTTCAGCTGATGATGCCTGTGGTGGGACACTTCGAGGGCAGAGTGGAATAATTTCAACCCCTCATTATCCTTTGGAGTACAACAACAATGCTGACTGCACGTGGACGATTTTAGCAGAGCCGGGAGACACTATAGCTCTGGTTTTCTCGGATTTCCAATTGGAGGATGAATATGACTTTTTAGAGGTCACTGGAACAGAGGGATCCTCTTTATGGTAAGTGACTGCTTTGCTTTTCTAGATCAATATGGATCATTTGTACTCTTTGGTACTATATCTTGCCAGTGTTGGCTTGCAATTGATCAGAGCTGCCTAAATAAAGAACAGTAGGGAACGATAACATCTTTAAAATGTTTAATTAACATTCAATGAAATTGCCACCCTTCATCCCAGAATCAGGATTTTTTTCTTCACCATCTGTCTATCTGCCTGTCTGTTTTGTCTGTCTACCTAACTACCTATCTATCTAAATTCTACAATGAAGGTATTGCAATTTTTAATTCATGCAAGAAATAAAATAAACTGTCATGAATATAAAAGTCTGTAATTTGGGGGGTGACTATCATCAAATTAATTTCTATTTTTTTTTAATGAGTGCTGTAGTGAACTTTTTGGAGCTGAATTCCACTGCCATTGAGCAAATCAACTGTTTTGACTATTTCAGTGTCTCTGAAAGTGGCATACACATTTAATAAATTCTTATTGTTACTGTTCTGGCTATGGCCCTTTGCCTCCATTTTGTTTTAATGGTGTTACTTGAAAGGCACCAGTACTGCCTTCATGTTAAAGAGAACCCATAGGTGGTCTTTTTCTATTTCAAAATAAGATGTATCAACAATGGTGAAGTCATGAAACATTTCTAGCTCAGTGGTTTGTATTGATTTGATATTGTTGGGAGAATTGTGTTATTAAAACATAAAGTAATGTAAATGAACTTTTGAAGGAAAACTCACACGAGACAATTCTAATCCCTGATTCAGGGAAGTAAGATAAAAAGAGCAGCGGGGTCTGTAATGAATTTATCTTAGTTCCACAGTATGTTCTGGTTTTCTTAATTCCATTTTGGTTTTTGTTGGTTGGTTGAGTTTTTTTAAATTTTTATTTAAGGCAGAAATGTGTTTTAAAAAAGATATCAATGGACAAATAATTACTGAAATTATACAATTACTAACCTTATTTTGAGTGTTAAAAGTTTCCAAGCAGAGCACAAGTTATAAGAATTATACATTTTTGAGCTTGATGTCAAAATCTCCACTATATTATTATTTATAAATGTTAAAAAAGAAAAAAAGAAAAACACCCCTAGATAATAAAGCTAAATATCTGATTCCCCCTTTCTTTGTACTCCAACCAATTTTCAATTTCCTTTTGTGTAAACATTAGAAACCATCCTCCTTGTATTTAGCATGCTGCATAATATAAGTTGGTTGCTTAATATCCAACGGTTAATTCCAGATTGTTATGTAAGCCATAATTGTCTGGGATCACATTCATCCATCTATCATACTTGCAAAGAATAGTGACTTAGTTCGCCCATAATTAAGTAAAATCCCCTCACTACTCAAATCATATCATGGTTTAATGTAATGTGTGAATTTAGAGAGAGAGAGAGAAGTAAAATGGGCAGTGAGAATAATGATGTGATCCCTTTAATCAATTATTTTGGCCAGACCTTTCCCACACCCTAGACTCTTTATCAAGCCTTCTATTTAGACTTCTGCCATTGTAGGAACCTCTGTTGAAGATGGAATGCAAGTTCACCAAATGCAAAATTATCTATGCAGGTGGTGTGGTTAGCACTTTGTCATCTTTTCATCTCTTTCTCTCTTTCTCTTTCTCTCTTTGATTACCCTGTTATAACTCACTGTTGCTGAGAAATACCTAGAATCAAAAAGGCATAGCCATTCATGCAGGGAATCTTAAAATGACCTAGGCTCCATCTGCTTAGTATAGCATAAATCAATCTCTTTCTCTAATTACACGTTCATTGCTTTTCTGTGACAAAACATTCTCAGCAGTGAAAAAAACATATTTCATGTTTGGGGTATAGGTGCCCTCAGCTTGCCCAGCTTCCAAAGGCAGAATGAAACTAATAATGCTGCTTAAATTGTAATTCTTGGATGGTGTGTTTCTACTCTCTTGGCCATGTGTTAGTTCCACCTTGAAAATATTATCTATGTTTTTCTTTCTCTGCTCAGTAGAAATTTAATGCATAGGAGTTGCTTTTGAAATTTTTTCCCAAAGACAATTTCAGTGAAATTCTAATGGATGGCACATATTGAATTTACATTTACCTAGTTACCAGCTCGCCAAGCAGTGTGAACGAATCCCCTCTTTTATATAGTATAAATATCACTCCAACACTTGCAGCCTACCTGGATTCCCACAATTTCTTAAAATCAAGGGAAAATGTTAGAGGCTTTCCACGTCATGAAAAGACATTAGTATCCACACAGAAAGATATATAACAATGAAATAATCTGAAAAGCATCTCCCAAAGGAAGCATGGTGAGAATCAACTAGAAAAGCAGAAACCTCTGTTTCAGGAGAACATGTCCAGTTGTTCAGGTTTCTGCTTTTCTTGTTGATTCTCACCGTGCTTCCTTTCTGAAAAATTGCCAGCCAGATTTTGACCCAATTTAGTTTATATGTTTGCTTTCAGTGTTGTTTGATGTGTTCGGTATAGAATGCCACAATGATTGTGAAAGTGATTTTATCAAAAGCAACCAGACAAAGCTGAACTAGAGACTTCTAAAACCAAGGACAGAACATTCAGATGTTTCTCAGAATGTTTGCATTATCTCCTAGAACTCATCAATTCAGACAGAACTGATAGAACAAGAACTGATTTGTATTATGGATGTGATTTATTTCCAGAGCACTGTGTTTTTGACTGCCATGCTGAAACATAGATAGCTATTTTGAGAAGAGATGGACTTTAGAAAAGTTGAAATTCAGGATTTTTCTAATTCGCACATTTGGGCCTAAACTTGACAAATGGACTTAATATGCACAACACACTAAGGGACTAAAAATTTGGAATAAAGTTTGGAATGAAGCAATTTCTCCATTAATTCAGTTTATGGATTTATGGTGCTGGAGAAGACTCCTGCGAGTCCCCTGGACTGCAAGGCGATCAAACCGGTCAGTCCTAGAGGAGATCAACCCCGACTGCTCTTTAGAAGGCCAGATCCTGAAGTTGAAACTCAAGTCCTTTGGCCACCTAATGAGAAGGAAGGACTCACTGGAGAAGAGCCTAAGGCTGGGAAAGACTGAGGGCAAGAGAAGATGGGGACGACAGAGAATGGGGTGGCTGGATGGAGTCACTGAAGCAGTAGGAGGGAGCTTAAATGGACTCCAGAAGATGGTAGAGGACAGGAAGGCCTGGAGGAACGTTGTCCATGGGGTCACGATGGGTCGGACATGACTTCGCAACTAACAACAACAACATGACCTAGCCAAAAAAATATTATATGAACATGGTCAGGATGCCCATCTGCTTTAGATTCTGTCCTGGTCATCTTCTCGTGCCTGTGCCTGAATATAATTTCCATTGGATCTGCTAGAATGTGAAGTGGCTATGCTCACACACATGGAGACAGCTGCAGACAATTTTCAAAGCATCAACAGGAGACTTGTAAGGAGCACAGCTACTATAATGCTTTGGGAAGAGGTGCTTCATTCATGCCAACGTGCTTTGTGCAGCATCTCTTTAGAAGGCTTTGTGCATACCTGCTATATTCTGTTATTACACAGAAATCATTCTGGATTTCCAAAACCTTTATAGGCCTTCCATACCAGCAGGAGCCAGGATTATTCAAAGACCTAAAAAACCTCTATATTCAAGAACTCCAACCCACTCTGCCCCAAGCTCATTTCCAAGGGTTGGAAATTCTGAGAGTTGCAGCTTCAGTACATCTGAAATGTGTCAGTTTAAGGAAGTCTGATCTAGCATGAAAGCACACAGATCCTTGGATTTTCAGTTTTAAGCATGACAGATATTGATATGGGCATACCGCTCACAGCGGTAGATAAAATGCAGCTGTACAAATAATATGTTTGTATTGATGGCCTGAAAAAGCAGGAAGCCCTCTTTTCCAATCAAGTTTTGTTTCCCCATTATGTCACCTGTAAGTGACTTTCACCCACCAGAGGTTAACCAACTATTAACTGGGTGAGGAAAAGTTATTTTTATGCTTGACGCCATCTCCGGAAGTGGGAAGGATGCCAACATTGATCCAAGAAGAGACATTGCTGCGAAGTGTTAAATTAAAATGTGATACATTTATTATGGATTTGTTACCATCAGAATAAAAGACATGCTTATGTAGATAATGTCATACTTGCTTGACAACATGTTAGGGGGAAAACGCAGTCCGAATTATCGCAACCCTATTAACTCTATTAAACTGGGAAGCTGACAGCCCAAGTTTGAGAGCCAAGCACTGTGCAAATGGGGTAAGCTTCCCTTCCTGCCCCAGCTCGTGTCCACCTAGCATTTCAAAAGCATTGCAAATGCAAGTAGGTTAATAAGTACCCCTTCAGTGGGAAGGTAACAGCCTTCCATGTGCCCTTGCATATAGCCATGCTAGCCACATGACCATGGAAAATGTTTTCGGACAACAGTCAAGAAACAGAGATGAGTACTATATCCAGATTCAGTCACAGTTTTGTCCCCATACAGTATTAAACTTGTGAACTCTAAAGCTACCTCCTTCCGTTATGTATTCAAAGATGGACAGTGATTAATATTTACATGTTACTTATATGCAAGGGTGTAGGTCTATACTTATGTTGTGTATAGTACGTTTTAAATGTGTGTTATGTATGTGCACACTTGAGAGCAAGCAACTAGATTTCTTTTTTAATGTGTGCCGTTATACCCACAGGAAAAAAAAAATAACAATAAAGGTTATCTCTGTCATTTGCATAATAATAATAATAATAATAATGATGATGATGATGATGATGATGATGATGATGATGATGATGATGATGATGATAAAGTTGGAAGGGACCTTGGAGGTCATCTAGTCCAATCCCCTGCTCAGGCAGGAAACCCTATACCATTTCGGACAAATGGCTGTCCAGTTTCTTCTTAAAAACTTCCAGTGTTGGAGCATTCACCACTTCTGGAGGCAGGTTGTTCCACTGGTTAATTGTTCTAACTGTCAGGAAGTTTCTCCTTAGTTCTAGGTTGCTTCTCTCTTTGGTTA